ATATATGAGGGGACAATGGGGGGATAAAGACACATTTGTAATACCTTAATCAATAACAAATTAATATATATATTTGTTTTATTTTATTATTTATTTATTTATTCTTTATCAATTAAGGTATTACATATGTTTCCTTATTCCCCCATTGTCCCCCTACCTCCCCCGCTCATGCCCTCACCCCCCTGGTGTCTGTGTCCATTGGTTACGCTTATATGCATACATACAAGTCCTTTGGTTGATCTCTCCCCCTTATCCCCACCCTCCCCTACCTTCCATCTGAGGTTTGACAGTTGGATCGTTGCTTCTTTGTCTCTGGATCTGTTTTTGTTCATCAATTTATGTTGTTCATTATATTCCATAAATGAGTGAGATCATGTGATATTTATCTTTTTCTCACTGATTTATTTCGCTTAGCACAATGCTCTCCAGTTCCATCCATGCTGTTGCAAATGGTAGGAGTGCCTTCCTTTTTACAGCAGCGTAGTATTCCATTGTGTAGATGTACCACAGTTTTTTAATCCACTCATCTGCTGATGGGCACTTAGGCTATTTCCAAATCTTAGCTATGGTAAATTGTGCTGCTATGAACATAGGTTTGCATATATTCTTTCTGATTAGTGTTTTTAATTTCTCATGAAAAGAGAGATTGGAAGAAAGGGAAACAACTTTTATACTTGAACACCCTTAATTACACATTTCCCTACTTTTTTTTTTTAACAAAAGGACCCATATTTTTTCTACTGAACTGCAAATTATGCAGCTGGCCCTGGGTGCTGGATATTTTTGTATTCCAAAAAATATCCTTGAGCTTTGTTCTGGTATGTAGTTAATTACTTAGAAGCAGTTTAATCTGTTCAGGTCTTGCTTTTAAGATTTTTTAGGGGAGACTGGAGCAGTGCTTGGTCTAAAGCTAATTATTCCCCACTACCGGAAGCACAACCTTACCGTATACTCTACTCGAGTCTTTGTGAATCATGAGGTTTTCTTGTCTGGTTGGTGGAAACAGTCACTTTTCCCAGCCTTGATGAGTCTGGGCACCTTTATCTCTACTTTGTTTGCCAGGGACCTGGTAATTTCCTTACTTGCATGTACTGAATACTTGAAGGGAATTCTCCACATTTTTCAGAAGTTCTCTTTCTGTACAGTTTACTCCTCTCCTGTACTCAGTCCTGTGAACTCTAGCCACCTTGATCTCTCTGGACTCAGCTCCTTCTCCTCAGGGAGTCCACAAGGTTCCACCTGGATTCCTCCTCCCTGCTCTGCACCCTGGAAATCATCAAGGTAGTAAAATGCAGAAATCATAGAGCTCGCCTTGTTTCTTGTCCCTTAAAGATCACTATTCTTCATCGCCTGATATTCAGTGCTTTGAAAGCAGTTGTTTTAACAGAGAACAGATTGATAGTTGCCAGAGGGGTGGGAGGTTGGGGGGCAGAATCCAGATGAAAACCATGAAAAGATGAAGAAGTACTAATTAGTAGTTAAAATAGTCATGGGGGTGTGGAGAATATGGTCAATAATATTGCAATAGCAATGTATGGTTTCTAGTGAGTACTTGAAATATTGGCAGATCATTGAGTAAAGTACAGGATTGTCTGACCACTATGCTGTACATCTGAAACTAATACATAATAGTGTTGAAAGAAAACTGATTGAAAAGTAATTTTAAAAAAATTTTTTATTTTTATTTTCCATGGGTTTTTTTGTTTGGTTGGTTTGTTTGTTTGTTTATTTATTTATTTATTTTTTGGTTTTGTGTTTGTTTGGTTGGTTGGTTGTTTTAGGTGGGAAAGTAAATTAGGTCCCTGTTATCCAACTTGGCCAGAATTGGAAGCCACATGGTTTCTTTAGCAGCCAAGTCATGTCATTATACAAAAAGTTCTGGTAAGCAAATGACATTTCTTTGGGAAAGGCTTTTATCAGTCTTGGTAGGAGAGACAAACATGGGTTATCACAACAGATAGGTAATGATATTGATCCCTAAATCTGCAGAGGGAAGAATGCCTCAAGTCGAAACTGGAAGCTTGGTTTTCTTTACCAAAACTCAAAGAAATATGATACTAAGCATAAAGGCTGAAATATTTTCTAATTTATGCCCTCTTTCAAACTTCCCCCTCTGGATGGATTTATATGCCTGTCTCCCTCCGGTTCCCTTACTTCTTCTAAGGATACCTAGAAAAGACAAAGCTTACTAGGATCCAATTATTCATTTGAAAAGAATATTAGGAGATTTTCCTACCTGCATTTTGTCTTAATGAAATAGCAATTGAAAAATTGTTAGCCCAGCCAGTGTGTCTTAGTAGTTGAGTGTTGACCTATGAACCAGAACATCTAGGTTCTAGTCCCAGTCAGGGCACATGAGGACTCCATCCCCAGTGGGAGACATGCATTCATGTTTCTAACTATCTCTCCCTCATCCTTCTTCTCTCAAATCAATAAAAAATACATTTAAAATGAAAAATGTTATTTTAGGATTATCTGAATAATAACTCCACAAATAAGAATTTTAATTTGCGTAAGTTTTAATTTTGCCAAAGACAAAATCAGCATCAGACTTAAAAGCCAAGACTTCCCAAGCAAATCCCTTTTAATTTTTCTTTAACTGAAGAATTTTTTTACCATTAAGCCTAAGTGAAAGACACCACATCAAATTCATTCAGAAATTCATTAACTGGTAAGCATTAAGAAGATTTATATACTAATATACTTGTATTTGTTCTGAATCACTATCTTTACATCCACACAACTGCAAATGTTGTTGACAGGAGGAGGAGACTTGCTCTGTAAAAAATGGGGGACAATAGCTCAAACTTTTTTTAAAAAGCTATTGGTAATTCTATATACTTGAGTTCTTAAATAAGCACTAGTAGGGTTATATCCCGCTGCCTTTGGGTTTTATTCTGGTCATCAATGAAAAGGTAGACTTGCAGATAAAGGTGTCTTTTAAAAAATAATTTGCTCTAAAATAAGCTTTCTTTGTCTTATTAGCTGTATCATTTTGAGGTTCAGTGCCTCAATTATGAGAATGAGACAGAAGGTACAATAGGCGAAAAACTAGGTTCAGTTATTCGGGTGTAGGCTTAGCTATCAATGTGTTTGTTGGTGACAGTTTCTGTTTACTGCAAAAAAAAAAACAACCAAAAAAAAAACAAAAAACACAATCTATGCTGCTGTCTAGGATCTATTTTTACCTTACTCTAAATGCATTAACTGCTGGTATATATATATATATATATATATATATATATATATATATATATATATATATATATATATATACTAACAAATGCATAAAAGTTGATTTTTCTAAATTATGTTCATTTGAATTTGTAGTAAATTCTTATTAAATTTTTATGCTTAGTATAATCATCAATAGCAGCTGCAGCAGCAGCAGCAGCAGCACCCTGACTATTTTGGGATACACATAAGAAGCCTGACCTACTAGATAGATCAGCATAGTAACTTGGCCTGGCAAAACAGCCATTTGAAATCACATGGGATGGGCCTGTTTGAGAAATATAAAGCTCTGCTTCAGTCATTGATACTGTGATCTATATGTAGTAGTTAAGTTCATAAACTGTGACCTCCATTTTGGCTTGATCTTATTATGAATTATTCAGTAAGCCTATGTACTAAGGTTATATGGTTTATATTACACATTATGTCATATATGTTATATGTTACATGTTATATGTCATGATTTTGAAAGCTGGCCATTATTTTATTACATGTAAGTTTTCTCTATATTCACTCTTTTCTGGAAATGCCACATCATTGAGCCTAATGTTGGACTATGTTATCAATTTTGGTTTAAACCGCAACTCAGTAGCATTGATGACTCTGGATTTGATCTCATTATATGCCGAAAGTGGCTAAAAATACTAGAATTAAGGATTCACTTTTTCCACATAGTCATAGCTTATGAACAATACCTAGAATATATTTGTATATACATATGAAAGATGCTACAGAATTAATTAAATATTGACTGGAATGTAATAGTCAGTCCATCAACTACTACAACAAATTATTCCACTGAGGTAAATGATTGTCAGAATTAATGAATCAGTCAGTATTTTGATGTCAGATTGGCATCAGCCAAAATATGTGACATAAACAGAACCTGGAATGTCTCTACTGTTTCAAAATCAAATATACGGATTGCCATTTGATTGATTTTTCTTGTTGCTTTTGTTTTTATAGATGATTACTCTATATTGTGAAGAGAATGATGATGTGACTAATTTAAATTACCCATAGTCCTTTTCAGAACTATGAATAGATTAAAAAACAAGTTTTTTACAGAGATCTTGAATAGGAATACTGAGATTGGAATATTTATGAAAATTTACAAAAATTACAAAAACTTGAATATCTAAACTAATGACATCTGGTGTCCCATATAAAACTGAAGCAATATCCCCTTTGATTCGCCTGATAGCTTGATGGACTATTATCCATGAAATCCACATATGTCACTAACCACTGTATTAGATACTCACAGCACAAATTACCACATGTTCAGCTGTTCAACACTTGAAGGAAATTGACAAAATGAAAGCACAAAGAGCTTAACTAAGAGTACTGGATCTTCACTGAGACTATGGCTATTAGGGCAAAACAGGGTTTGTTTTTTTTTTAGATATATTTCTATGTTATTATGCTTTCCTCAAAAATATTTTAGTTAGTTATAATTTTACCCTTTTCTGTTTGTCTAATTCATTAATTAGAGTCTTGCATTTATTATTTCATAAATATTCAGTAATTCAAATAATAATAAAATTAGTCAATGTAATTGTTTTTATCTGTTGTCATAGACTAAGAACAATGTGTTAAAACTTTCCACGACCATTGAGTTTCTGAAATTTTCTTTTTAATTGAAAGTATTGAGGTGAAATTAGTTAACAAAGCTATATAGATTTCAGGTGTATAATTCTATAACATCACCTCTATATTGTATTGTGCATTCACCATCACAAGTCAAGTCTCCTTTTTTTTCTTCTTGGTGTCTGTAGCCAAATTTATCCCTGAGACCCAGCAGAGGGGACCAGGGCCCATGTACCACATTGTTTCTATGGCAGCCTTCTGGGCCGGTGCCTGCCACGGGGGGACAGGCACCGAATTTGGCACGGCTGCATAAGTCAAGTCTCCTTTTATCTCTATTTATCCCTCCTTTACCCTCTTCTACCTTCCTCCACCCCTCTTTCCCTCTTGTAATAACCATACTGTTGTCTTTCTATGATGATTAGTGATTTTGAGCTTTTCATATGTCCACTGGGCATCTGTATGTCACTTTTTGTGGAGTGTTCATTCAGGTACTCTGCCCATTTTTTAATTGGGTTGCTTGTTTGTTTTTGGTGTTGAGTTTTATGTGTTTTTTTTTAAATGAATTTGTGATAGCAACCCCTTTTCAGATGTATCATTGGCAAATATGTTCTCCCATTCAGTGGGTTGTTTTTTTCATTTTGATGATGGATTCCTTTGCTGTGCATAAACTTTTTTAGTTTGATTTAGTCCCATTTGTTTATATTATCTTTGGTTTCCCTTGGACGAGAAGATATGTCAGAAAAAATACTGCTATAAGGAATGTCTGAGATTTTACTGCCTATGTTTTCTTCCAGGATTTTTACGGCTTTGAGTCGTAAACATTAAAGTCTTTAATCCCTTTTGAGTTTATTCTTGTGTATGGTGTAAGGAGGTGGTTGAGTTTCATTTTTTTCACATATCTGTCCAATTTTCACAAAAATAATTTATTGAATAGCCTATCTTTACCCTATTGTATGGTCTTGCCTCCTTTTTGAAATATTAGCTGATCATAACAGTATGGATTTATTTCTGGGTCTCTATTCTTTTCTATTACTCTACATGTTTGTTTTTATACTAGTGCCATGCTGTTTTGCTTATTATAGCCTTGTAGTATAGTTTGATATCAAGTAGCATGATGTCTCCAGCTTTGTTCCTCTTTTTATTTTTTTCAAAGTTGCTGTGGCTAATTGTGCTCTTTTGTGGTTCCATGTAATTTTTTGGGATATTTGTTCTAGTTTTGTGAAATACTCCATTGTATCTTAATAGGAACTGTATTAAATCTATGCACTCCTATGTTCATAGCAGTATTATTTACAATAGCCAAGAATTGGAAGCAGCCCAAGTGCCCATCAGTTCTAGTAGTTTTTAAGTTAAAATCTTTAGGGTTTTCTATATACAGTATCATGACACCTGAAAATAATGAAAATTTTACTTCTTCCTTAACAATTTGGATGCCTTTCATTTCTTATTCTTGTCTGATTGATGTGGCTAGGACTTCCAGTGCTATATTGAATGAGTGCTGAAAGTGGGCATCTGTGTCTTGTTCTGGATCTTTAGGAAGCTGACTCCTAAGCAGGGTATAAGTTTTGCAGTGTGGAATGAGAGAGAATTCAGTGTTGCTATAGCATTCTCCCAAGCTGATGCTATAAGGAGGGAAGTGCTTCACCCAAGAAAGATGGCATCTACAGTGTGGGAAAGTCACTCAGCACAGGGATCTTGGCAGCTGTCCCTTTAGCTCTCCTCACATAACTCTATTTCACTGTGCCTCCCTCCGCCAGAGCCCCCCGGTGAGTGGTTGCAAACAAGATTTTGTACATTGGCCCATTTAGAGGGTGCCAGTGTCTCTAGCATACTCCTCTTTCTCCCTGCCAGACAGAATGCCCACTGATTTTCACAGCCAGGTATTATGTGTGTGCCTTTTGCTGGCTCTGGTGGTCTGGGCAGGGGAGAACACCTTGGGTTTGAGACCCCACACTTTTTAGGGGGAGCATTTGCAGCTCAGTTATCCCTTCAGATACCCAGTTGTCATGTGTGAGAGTGAGATCAGGGCATACTTTTTTCACAACTCTGTCCTTCCTAGCAGAGCAGTCTCAACGTACCTTCTTCTGTAAATCCTTGGTTATAATACTTTTCTTCAGCCTTTAGTTGGTTATTCATGTTGATTGTTCTATACTTTAGTTGTAATTCTAGTCTGATCCTGGCACCCACTCTGCTGCCATCTGGATCTTTCCAAATTATAGATATTTTAATGGATTCAGCTAATTTGACCATTGAAATTAATTGGCAATTTGAAAAGACAACCAGAGAGTTGAACTTAAAATCATTGTGTCTTTGCTGAGGTTGTGTCTAGAGGACAAAATATAACTTTGTTGCATGGATCTAATTAATTTGACCAATGTATACATCTAGAGTAGATAATGAAGTATCTTGGTCCTAAGTCCAAATTATGTTACTTTCTTTCTTTCTTTCTTTCTTTCTTTCTTTCTTTCTTTCTTTCGGGGTTAATATTCAAATATTTAATTCATTTTATGGTTTTGTAGACCCAATCTACATATTTATAGCATAAATATCAACATATCCATGGTTGAGCATAATAGCACATAGTTGGTATACTTATTTTTTATAAGCTGTCATTTAAAATAATAGCTTAGTAATGTCATATTTTGCTTCTTTGCCCTTTACCCCCATTTAAAAATACTCTATATAAAACAGACTGGGGAGGAAACCAAGATGGAGGAATAGGGAAACACCTGAGTTTGCTGCCTCGAACAACCACTTCAAAAATACAACTAAAAGACAGAACGGACATCATCCAGAACCACAGAAAGGCTGGCTAAGTGGAAGTTCTACAACTAGGAGGAAAGAGAAAAGCATACCAAGACTCAGAGGAGACACAGTGCTGAAGTAAAATTCTAAGGTGCGGAGTGCACGCAGAGCGGGCTGGCGGCTGAGGGTGTGGTTATCGTTTTCAATTGGGAGGGAGCCTCAGGCTCTGAGCTCCAGCTCCAGGAGAGGCTCTAGGGACCCAGACTCATACGGGAGAAGCAGGACTGTCTGGCATCGCTCAGAACCCTAGGGCAGCTTTCTCTCCTTGGGGTTTGCAGTGATTACTGGGACACTGAGAAGCAGAGCCTCTGAAGGCAAGAGTGAGAGCAGCCATATTTGCTAACCCCACCCTGTTGATCCCCTGGGACCCGCCCCACCCAAGCCCTACAGGGAGACTTTTGCTGGATAGCCTCAGGCAAAGGCTAGATTAGCATCTCCCTAGAGATCCAGGAGCCAGGAAGCCCAGAGGTCAGAGTGGGACCATCCAGTTTGCAGCTCTGTGGAACCATAAAAGACACACTCAGGGGGCAGACTCAGTGAGCACCAAAGCCCCATCGAAGCAAGTCTAGTCCCAGAGGTGTGTCTCCAGCACAGAAGTTCTCCCACTGCAGACACAGCTGATTCTCACAGCCAATTGGCCTGGAGGTCAATTCCTCCCAGTGATAACTACAACAATCAAGGCTTAATTACAACAAGACTGTGCACAAAGCCCACAAGGGGGTGAACCAAGAGTTTCTACCTCAGGTAATTGGGACACTTAGCACAGAAAGGCACTCTATCGACACAGCAAAACATAAAAAATGCCAAGACAAAGAAACAGGACAAAAACGACAGAATTGGAGGAAAGCAAACTGCTGGATATAGAGTTCAAAACCACACTTTTAAGGTCTTAAAGAACTGTCTAGAAGCCGCCAATAAATTTAATAAGGCCCTCGAAAAGACTGGTGAGACCACCGATAAATGTAGTGAGATCTTCAAGAAATCTAATGAGACCCTCGATGTTATGATAAAGGACCAACTAGAAATTAAGCATACACTGACTGAAATAAAGAACATTATACAGACTCCCAACAGCAGACCAAAGGATCGCAAGAATCAAGTCAAAGATTTGAAATACGAAGAAGCAAAAAACACCCAACTGGAAAAGCAAAATGAAAAAAGAATCCAAAAATATGAAGATAGTGTAAGGAGCCTCTGGGACAGCTTCAAGCGTACCAACATCCAAATTATAGGGGTGCCAGAAGAAGAGAGAGAGCAAGATATTGAAAACCTATTTGAAGAAATAATGACAGAAAACTTCTCCTACCTGGTGAAAGAAATAGACTTCCAAGTCCAGGAAGCGCAGAGAACCCCAAACAAAAGGATTCCAAAGAGGACCACACCAAGACACATCATAATTAAAATGCCAAGAGCAAAAGACAAAGAGAGAATCCTAAAATCAGCAAGAGAAAGAAAGTCAGTTACCTACAAGGGAGTAACCATACGACTGTCAGCTGATTTCTCAACAGAAACTTTGCAGGCCAGAAGGGAGTGGAAAGAAATATTCAAAGTGATGAATACCAAGAACCTACAACCAAGACTACTTTATTCTGCAAAGCTATCATTCAGAAGTGAAGGCCATATAAAGAGCTTCACAGATAAGAAAAAGCTAAAGAAGTGCATCACCACCAAACCAGTATTATATGAAATGCTGAAAGGTATCCTTTAAGAAGAGGAAGAAGAAGAAAAAGGTAAAAATACAAATTATGAACAACAAATACACATCTATCAACAAGTGAATCTAAAAATCAAGTGAATAAATTATCTGATGAACAGTATGAACTGGTGATTGTAATAGAATCAGGGACATAGAAAGGTCTGACTATTCTTGGGGGGGAAGGGGTTTGGGGTGAGGGAAGAGATTGGACAATAATCGTGCACCTATGGATGAGGACAGTGGGTGGGAAGTGAGGGCGGAGGGTGGGGTGGGAACTGTGTGGAGGGGAGTTATGGTGGGAAAAAAGAGTAACTAATGTAATAATCTGAACAATAAAGATTTAATTAAAAAAATAAAAATAAATAAAAGTACTCTATAAAAACAAGGTTTTCCTGTGTTTCATTGAGAGAAACCATGTGTTGGTTTCAGAGAGAAAGAGGGAGGAGAGGGGGAAAATGAAGAAAGCTGAGAATTCTTGGGTTTATGGAACTAAAGGAGTTACATAATAACTTTAGTATCATTAACTGAAGTTCATCCACTAATTTACTTGAGTGTGATAATCTGAAAGTCATCTGAAATTAATTCTATAAGGTGAAAAACTGCTTTTAAATTTTCCTTTCCTTTTCCTTTCTACCACTTCCTTTTCTTTTTCCTCCTTTCCGCCTTCCTTTGGATATAGATAATACAATAAGCAAGTAAGTTTATTGTACTATTTAAGATGGATCTCATTTTTCTGTTACATGGCTACATATAGTTGCTTATAAACCATCTAATGTAAATTTTTATGATGTGTAAAATGAGAATAATTT